ATTAAGGCCTTGTGTTCCATTCCCAGGACCACCAAAAAGGTGAAGCAGTGGAGCTGGAGAGATGGGAGGGTCCCGAGAAGAGGGGTGACCCACTTCTCAGGACTAGGCTGGAAGGGCTCGTACGAAGAAAGGGGCAGACTCTCACATGGTTTATGCATTTGGGGTCTTTGTTGTCATAGAAGTTACACTTGTTCTGAGAGCAGCAGGAGGTCTGCAGCAAAGTCCAAAGCCTGCAGGAGACCGGAAAAGGCTGAAGGCAGGCAGAGATAGCGTCCCTCTCATCAGACCCTGACCCCAGGGGACGAGGACCGACAATACAGGGTATGATGTGTAGACTTTCAAACCCAGTTCCTAGGAACCTGTCCCCTGGTGCGGGCAAACAGGACCCCTCAATACCTTTTTAAAAAGAAAAAAAAAATGTTTTTGAGAGGTTTTTCTATGTAGTCTGGGCTCGCATCCTAAACTCACTATGTAGCCCAGGCTGGCCTAAAGCCCCAGGGATGGGGTTACAGGTGTATATTACCATATCTGGCCTCCTCAGCTCCTTTAAATCCTGGTCTCTATTCTTGGCCCTTAAGCATCAAACCATTTGGGCAACCCCAGGCCCTACCTTCTCATGAACCCGAGCCTGGAATGTCACGTGCTAGAGGACAGATCTGAGATCTCATGACCTGCCCCACCCTAGCCATTGCCCAACTGTCCCTCTCCCATACCTGTTCCCCAGGAGACCATGGTAGTAGGCGAAATAGACCAGTGAGTTGTCGTTCTGTTCATAGGAGGCGAGTCCATTGCCCACAGCCAGCCCCTGTTAAAAACACCCAGGGTATTCAGCTCATCTGAAGGGTGAGAACGAAGGGGGACCCTCCCTTGACCTATGGCCAGTGCTGCAACCTAGAAGCTGAAATCCAGAGTGGTTTGTGGGGGTGGGTAGGCGGGTGAGGTCATTCCATCTAAAGAACAGATGCGGCAGCCTGACAGGCGAGCTTTCTAGAGTAGGAGGCATGCAAGCCGATGGAGTACCCAATGGCCAGGAGTGGCTAGGCTGGCCTCCCTAATCCCAGGTCACAGCCCCACGGCGCCTCCCTTCCCTCCGGCAGCTGCCCTGCACCTGAAGGTTCATGCTGGGATCCTGCATGACCAGTACAGCCAAGGTGGGGATATAAATGCCGGCATAGCTCTCTCCCGTCAGGAAAAGTTTGTTGTCCTTGTACTCCGGAAAGAGGCGGAAGAAGTCTTTAAGGGCTTCATAATTGTTCTGAGCCACCTGAGGATGGTGAGATGGAAGCGGGAGACCTGACTTTAAGCTAGAAAGCTCTTCCGAGGTAATTAGTCCGACGCATTGGATTTTGTGCAAGAGGAAGTAAGCTGGTTACGAGCCTACCACAGAGCATGTGACAGGGCCAAAAGGAGATTCTGAGGCTAAGCTCTCCCCTCTCATGGTGCCATCTTTGGGGAAACGGAGAATGGGGCAGGTGGTCAGGCAACACACTCACCTCTGTGTCATTGGTCACATACATCTTGTCCTCTGAGTAGGAGAAGCCCACCCCGGCTGGGGACTCGATATACAGCATGTTGGCAATCTAGGGGGAGGAGGGAATGAGTGGAAGGGGGTTCCCCACCCCATTCGAGCACCCAGACACCCCTACAAGACCCACAGCGCCAGGTGTACCAGGTTCCAAGAATAGGGGTTGTACTCCAGGGTGACACCATCTGGCTGGATCTGGGGAGGAAAGACAGCTCTGTGAGTACCACCAGGCAGCTGGGTAGAAAGAATGGCCACAGTGTTGCCGTGCTCCAGGAGAGGTGCAGAAAGTTAGGCCAAGGGTCAGATAAAACACAACAAAACAGAATTGGAAAGCAAACTTGGAAAGTCGCAGGTTCCTTCTGCCCAACCCTTTCTGCCTTTTCCTTGACGAGCCTCCTGCCCTCTCACAGCCGGGGAGAACAGTGCTCAACTCACCAGGAAGGGGCCGTGCTCTGTAAGAAACCCATCTAGGGAGCTGCAGCCGGGACCCCCATTGAGCCAAAGCACCACGGGGCTGTTCTTTGGGTCTTTCTGTGACTCCACAAACCTAGGAAGGGCACAGGGCAGGGATGGTGCAAGTAAGAGGCCCCGTCCTGCCTTGGGTCGTTAGAACTCAGCCACCCAGTTATCAAGCCTCCTCGGAAGGCAGGGCCGCGCACCAGTAGTGGAAGTGCTTGGAATCCGATGCTTTGAGGTAGCCGGAGTACTGCCGGAAAGCCGGCTGCTTGGCCAGTCCGGGGAGGCAATCGATTTCATCCTGGTCCGGAGCTGCTTCGCCCTGGGACGCACAGGACACCAGCAGCAGCAAGAGCAGCGGAGACAGCGCGGCTCGGAGCATCTGAAGGAGGAAACAGGCGGAGGATGTTTACCAGTTCCCCGGACCCTTTGCGCTTCCGCGCAGCAGTTCCTGGGAAGAAGATGGCGCGCATCTCCGGGGGTAGCCCCCACCGGGGTCCAGCTCCCTGCCGCAGAGCCACGTTCGCTGCCCATCAGCCAGGGCATTTCCGTACCTCTGCTTCTTTGCGTCCTTGCTCTTCGGGAAGCGCCTGTGGACTGGAAGTCATGTGTAGTCCTGGTCACGTGAACTTCTGCATCACGTGACAGTTTGCTCACGTCCACTCTTTTTTATCTGCGGGCCCGAGGGTCGGGAGAGGTCAGTTACCAAAGTGCACAGCTCTGAAGGTTATTATCAAGGGGCCAGAGAGCAGATGATTTTGGTGTTGACAGCAAGGTTTCCCAGGCTCCTGGGGACATTTTACTGGCGAGATGCCAGGAAAGCGGCGCTAGGACCCCCGGGCAGAGCCGGGGAAGGATAGGCAAGGGGAAGTGCCTTACAAGGTCCCCCGCGGTCACCGGCTGCGCCCGCCGCCCAAAATAGCCCTTGGCATGAGCTGACCTGCTTCATGGCGGGGAGATGGCTGCTGCCTCCGAACCCGTAGGGTCGGGTGGCCCACGGAGCCCTGCGCGTTCAGAGCCCCCTCCCACACGCTTCCACCAAGTGCACGGAGCCAACATTCGCGTGGACCCGTCGGGGACGCGAGCCACACGCGTGGAGAGCTTCGCCCACGGTGTGTGCTTCAGTCGCGAGCCCCTGGCCCCGGGTCAGGTATTCCTAGTGGAGATAGAGGAAAAAGAGCTGGGCTGGTGCGGCCACCTTCGTCTTGGTTTGACCGCGCTGGACCCGGCCAGTCTGGCCACCGTGCCTGAGTTTTCACTGCCTGACCTGGTCAGCCTTGGCCATAGCTGGGTCTTCGCTATCACACGTCACCACAACCGCGTGCCCCGGGAGGGTCAACCAGAAGCAGAGGCAGCGGTCCCCAGCGGCTCGGAGGCTCTACTGGTTGAACCCTATCTGCGCATCCAGCAGTTCCGAATTCCCCGGGACCGCCTGGTGGGCCGCAGCCGGCCAGGGCTCTATAGCCACCTCCTAGATCAGCTCTATGAACAAAACGTGCTGCCTCCCACTGCGCGCCGCAGCCGCGTGGGTGTCCTCTTCTGCCCGCGTGAGGATGGGACCGCCGACATGCACATCGTCATCAACGGGGAGGACATGGGCCCAAGCGCCCGGGGGCTGCCGGCTGCCCAGCCCCTCTACGCTGTGGTAGATGTGTTTGCGTCCACCAAGAGTGTGCGCCTGGTCCAGCTGGAGTATGGCTGTAGGTATCCCACCCCTGGGTAGTGACCCTTTTCTGGTTTGGCGTATCGACTGGGTATCTGCTGGGCCCCCGCAGCTAGCTCGCAAGGCCTTGGACTGTCCAGCTTTTGCTTGTGATTTGCTTGGCTGTAGGCCTGCCTCAGTGTACTCATCTCAGCTGGTTGACTAAGACACCCTCTTTGTTTGGAAGCTATTTCAGTAATAGGGATTCTTCGTGTTTGGGGGGAGAGGGAGGTGAGGGTGTCCTGGGAACCAAGTCGGTTTCATGCATGCCGGGCAGGCACTCTTGCTGTGCTGCACACCCCAGCCCCTAAGATAGGGGTTCTAAAACCAATTTTAGACCTGGGGCTTCTTGAGATTTTTGTGAATTTATTTATTTATTTTTGGTTTTCTGAGACCAGCTCACGCTGGAGACAAGGCTGGTCTGGAACTAGACAGTCCTTTCTGTGTCAGGCTGCCGAGGGTTTTGAGTATAGTCAGGAGCCACTACATTCAGCTATGAGTTGTGTGTTTTATTAGAAAAATGTTCATAGGTTTGTCCCTATGGAGTTAGAGCCATCACAGACCCCAGATTGAGAACTCTTGGTTTGTTTGAGACCGGGTTTCTCTGAGTAGCCTTGGCTGTCCTGGAACGCACTCCACAGACAAGGCTGGCATCAAACTCAGACTGAGGACTTTTAAATTCTGAGGTCTGGCTCACTGTAGCGCAGTAGACCTTTCATTTATGCTTCTGGTCACATGTCATGAATTCATTGAACTGGAACCTGCTGTATACTGGGCTGTGCTTGCACAGGCAAATCAGGCTTGAAGCTGCTGAGTGAGGGGAAGAAGAGCTTAGGCTGTGAGGTCTGGACAAAGTTCTCAGGAAGAGGTGTTATGCCAGCTACACAAGCAGCCCCACCGGGAAGGCTGAGCCTGAGAGCAGAAGCTGATTCCCAGGTTGATGGCAAATAGGGACCAAGATGCAGATCTTTTCAGGCCTAGTGTTACCTCAGCTTGCCTTTGACCGTCATCTCTCCACAGTGCCATCTCTGCAGACTCTGTGTCGTCTGGTGATCCAGAAGAACGTGGTGCACAGGCTGGCCATTGATGGGCTCCACCTGCCCAAAGGACTGAAGGATTTCTGCAAGTATGAATGAAGGCCTGTGGCCACCAGAGCAAAGCCACAGGAGTGCATCCTGCCTCCAGAGCCGTGGCTAGCCCAGAGCTGGCTGTGTGGCTAACAATCGGGGCCAGAAATAAATAGAGCTGAGTTGATGTTCTGAGCATTAGAGCGTCTCCTTGCCTCTTCAGCCTTGTGAGAGGCAGTCCTAGAGTCGCCAGGTTAGAGGAAGTATTTTGGGAGCCATCTATATTAGGGTTCCCCAGCGTGTACACTCCTTTGAATTATCTAGGACACATTCTCTGTCCCCACACCCCAACAGTCTCCTTTGGTTTGTGGTTTGTCAGAGAATTAAACCCAGTTATCACGACTTTTTTTGTTTTGTTTTTTCAAGGGTTTCTCTGTGTAGTTCTGGCTATCCTGGACTTGATTTATAGACCAGGCTGGCCTTGAACTCATAGAGATCCACCTGCCTCTGCTTCCCAAGTCATGGAATTAAAGGCATGAGCCACCTGGCCCAGCCATTTTTGTTTAGTTTTGTTCTAGACAAGATCTCACCTACAGCTTAGGCTGGCTTTACACTCTCATATACCAGGATTATAGGCATAAGCCTCAATGCCTTACTTGATAGTTTTTGTAAAAGCAGTTCTAATGCATGGTCAGAATGGAGAAGCATTTCCTAGATCAGAGGTTTCACCTTGGAAGAAGACTGTAATCATTTGCTGTTTTCATTTGTGGCTTCTTTGAGACAGGGTCTTATGCTGTAGCAAGGCTCATCCTGAACCCTGGCAATTCTCTCACAACTGGAGATTACAGGCATGGGGTAGTATTTCTGGCTTCTGGCTTTTGCAGTACTAGGAACTGAGTTTAGTACCCCATGAGTGTTGTACCACCAAACCACACCCTCCAGCCTCCCCCGCCCCTTTAAGACAGAGTCGTAGTATGTATCCCTGGCTGGCATGTAACTCACAAAGATCCGCCTGCCTCCTGAATGCTGGAATTAAGGTGTGTAGTAGTACCTTGTCTAGCTGCCAGCCCCCTTCTTCTCTCCTCGTCCTCCTCCTCCTCGTCTTGTTTTTTGTTTTTAGAGTCAGGGCTTCTCTGTGTAACAGAGCCCTGACTGTCCTAGACTTGCTTTGTAGAAAAGGCTGTAACTCACAGAGATCCCCCTGCCTCTACATTAAAGGCGTGTGCCACCACCACAGCCCTCTTTTTATTTACCATTTGGGACAGAGTTTAAGTTGCTCATGCTGGCCTTAAGCGCTTCTACCTCAACTTCTCAGTTAGCTGGCTTCCAGGCCTGATCCATCAGGCCTGACTATAATGTCCTCAAGAACTTAAAAATACTGATGCATAGGTGTGCCCTGGGATTCTGTTGGTTGACCTAAGATGGAGTAGTGCCCTAGCATTATTCAGAGCCTCCTAGAGTCTGTGCCAACCACCAGTGACCTGGACCAAACGTCATTTTTCAGAGGCCAAGAGATAAGAACATTATTTATTTATTTAAAATATTTATGTATTTACTATGTAGACAGTTGTGAGCCACCATGTGCTTGGTGGGAATTGAACTCATGATCTCTGGAAGAACAGCCAGTGCTCTTCACCTCTGAGCCATCTCTCCAGCCCCCATTTTTTATTTAATGTATTTTTGGAGAGAGGGCCTCATTATGTAGCCCCAGCTGTTCTGGAACTAGCTCTGTAGACTATCTCTGAGTTTGGCCTCAAACTCAGAGATCTCCCTGCCTCTGCCTCCAAACTGCTGGGATTAAAGGAGTGTGCCACCATATGTGGCTCCAGCAAATGATTTAAAACCAGCAACAATAACAAAAACAAAACAAAACAAAACAAAAAAACAGGGTCACTTGTACCCCAGTTTGCCTTCATACTTGCTATAAAATGGAGAATGACCTTAGACTCTGATCCTCCTGCTTCTCCTACCCGAGTGCTGGGATTGCAGGCATGCCCCAATGCTTGGTTTATGCGGTAGCAAATGTTTGAATAGCCTGGCTTACACTGCAAGACACAAAAGCTGAGCTCATTCATTTGTATCTCTGATTACTAGTGTCCACAGAGATAATCTGATCTCACCCTTGAAACTCCTGGTTAGGTAGGGGCAGTGCCCCCCCCTGCCCATTTTGCAGCTGGAGATATTGAGGAACAAAACAGTCTGAGTGGAGCCAGGTGTGGTGGCACATACCTATATTCCCAACCCCTTGAAAGCTGAGACAGGAAGATCAAGGGTTTGAGGCCAGCCATACAAAAGCAAAACCAGGCTGGGCATGGTGGTACATGACTTCAACTCCAGCAAGCAGGAGACAGGCCTGGAACAGGAAGTAGACCGTGGGATGGTTCAGACCAGCCACGGTTACTTAGTTTGGTCCTGTCTCAACAAACAAACAAAAAAAACAATACCACAACAAAAAAAGCAAAACAAAACACAAACAAGTAGAATGTAGTTCTGAGGCAGCACTCATGCCTTGCATTCCCAAAGCCCCAGGTTCTAGCCCCAGCACCAGAAAGAAAAAAAAATAAAATAAAAAAAAAATGAAAACACCTGTCTTGGTGGGTCTTGACCAAGATAATGACAAAAGCCCGGAACATCCTGCTCCTGCTCCCAGGGCCCATTTAATTCCCTCCCATTGTGACATGTATGTTCTATAATGGACAGGTTAGTATTGTGAGGTAGCGTCTGGGTGTAACAGGGGCTGTGAGGTGACACTGTAGAAAACTGTAGAGTAGGGCAAGAGGAATAGGGCTATTCCCTCATGAACAGCGACTTTGGGGCAGCCATGTCCTACTTCATGTCTCCACAGACTCATCTGGGTCTTCTGCCTTCCGGCCAAGGTGAGAGGGGACAGCAGAGCTTCCCACACGAAGCTGCTTCCTGGCTTCGGGGGTGGGGGTCGAGGTGCTGCTGGATGTTTTGGGGATGACTGTGGACTCAGTTCTCTTGGAGGAAAAGATATCCAAAGGCCTTGCCAATTACTAATTACCCACTTGCTCACTTATTTAACAAACACTTCCCATCACCTGCAGTACTGGGACTGGCTGGAGCTGTAGATATGAGTAATGCTTACATTCCCAAACTCTGACCATCCTCTTGGGCTGATGCTGATTGTCCCTGCTCCCAGGCCCTGCCCCTCAGGGCCTCTTCCTCCAAGAGACCAAGAATAACATTCCATCTTATTCTTGTCTCTGCAGGTGGGGCTGCTTCTTCAGGTTCGTCTCTTGGCCTCTATAGTCCTGCAGAGCCAGTGGTGGTGTCATCTGGTGGATTAGGCCCACTGAGCCAGAAAGCTGAGCAGGTGGCACCTGCTGCCCAGGCCTGGGGCCCCACCTTGGCAGTGCCTGAAGCCAGGGGCTGCTCTGGGGGAGTTAGCTGGGAGACAACTCGGAGGAAGGAACACAGCCGATACTGTCCCAGATTGCCCCCCATGAGGCAGCTGGAGAACATGGGCTGGGCAGACCCCTGCTCCCGGAGCAGACCTCCCTACCTGGCTGGCCCTGGCAGGCCCCGGCCACTGCTGCTGTGTGGGCTGTCACCTGGGGTTCTGCCGATATCCTCTGAGGCAGGGGGGAAGGAGGCCGGCTCCCAGCCTGACATCTGCATCCTTACCCTGGCCATGATGATCGCTGGCATCCCCACCGTGCCTGTGCCAGGCCTGCAGGAAGAGGACCTGATCCGGGCAGCTCAAGCTTTCATGATGGCCCACCCAGAGCCAGAGGGAGCTGTGGAGGGGTGGCAGTGGGAGCAGGCGCACGCCTACGAGGCTCCTGGGCAGATGCCGTTAGTGAGATCCAGGAGGGGCTCCTGCTTGTAGTCAGATGAAATAGCATGAGATACATAGGGCGGCTTCTCCGTATGGTTTTTGGGCAGATAAGGTTGGGGATGGCTATGGCAGGGATGGGGAGAGGGTGTGGGTCATGGAGCCACCCTGATAAATCACACTGCTTTGTTAGGACCACCCTACAGGAAGTTCTTGATATCACCAAGAGAGCTCTGAGCAGATTACATTGGGTTACCTAGGTAGAAAGCCCTATTTGGAGACATTTTTCTTGTCTGTAGTCCTAGACAATATGGATTTTCCTCTTGCCTGTGTCCCAAACTTGCTGAAGGCAGATGCGACTGTAGGCTGAGCCAACAGAAAGCCATTCTTCTTTACTGTGACACACTGTGTGAGGATGCCTATCTTACAGATAAACCGAGGCTTAGAGAGCTGCCTGCTTGGAGTCGCACTGCTGGTAAAGGCAGAACCAGGTATAGAAACTTTGGCAGGTAAAAAAAAAAAGAGAATCACCACTCACACGTAGCACCATCCTCCTGCCAATTCTCCTCCTTTCACGGCCCTAAGGGGCCATGTATAAAAGAGACAAGTGTGGGCATACAACATTCATTTTATTAATCCCAGGGTGGGACAGGAAAAGTGGGATGCTTGGCAGACCCACCATAGCAGCCTCTTCCTTTGCGGGAAGGCTCCCGGGCCAGAGTCACGTAAACCATCTCATGACTGGGGCAGTAGTTATCAACACTGAACCTTCAGCCTTATCACCCAGCATCTCTCTGAAGGAATCACCCATTTTCAGAAATTTCTTGAGCTACAAATAATTTTTCCTTATGAAAAAGTTGTCAAAACTGAAGCCAGACTGCAGAACAGAGACCATCAAAGTCCACAATATTTACTACCGGGCCCTTAATGGAAAAGATTTTCTGACTTCTGTTCTATGGAGCTTCACACGTTCTAGACAGGAGGCTGGAGTGTGTAGAGGGGAGGATGTGAAGGTACATGTGTACATGAACGTTTCAGGGCATCACATCATCAGACATTGGGCCTGGTGACACAGGTCTATAATCTCACTTATTCAGGAGGCTAGTTAGGAGGCTCAAAAGTTCAAAGTCAGGCCATCTGCAGAGTGAGTTCAAGACTAGCCTGGAAGCCTAGTGAGAATATCTCAAAATAAAAAGAGGTCAGCACTTGGGAGATAGAGGATCAGGAGCTCAAGGCCAGCCTCAGCTATGTACTGAGTTTTAGGCCAGCCTGGGCACCTAGTGAGAGGCTATCTCAGAATAAGAAATGAGAAGAGGCAATGGTAGAGCAGTAACTGCCTAATGTATGTACTGCTCTAGGTTCAATTCCCAGCACTGGGTGTGCATGTGTGTGATCAGAGCTGGACCTGCTCGTAAGGGCCGATCCAGCTGTCGGCTAGTTCCCGAAGAGTGCTGTATCGACGCTCAAATTCCTCCTTGCTGCAGTGCTGTAAGAGCCGGCCTACCTCCTCAGTGAGGAGAGTCACAGCCAGGAGCTTGTCAAGGGTGGCACTCCACTTGCTGCCCAGGATGCTGTCCAGGCTGTTGGCACAGCCTGAGGTCCACTGAGCCTGCAGCATGTCCGGCTGGAGCACCTGGTGGCGGGCACTGAGCATGGCTAGGATGTGGCGGCAGGGCAGGTGGAAGGCTTGATTAAAGTAGCAGCTGCAGCTGGCAGGGGCCTGGGGCTGTACATTGTGCGTGTCCTCCAGAATCTGGATGTTCATTTTGTCTGAGCCAGAGCCAATGAGGTGCATGGATTTCTGGACCACGGCGAGCTCACCTAGGCAGAGTTGGGCTGCTGGCCCTGTGCAGATGGCGTTGAGGGAGTGCTGGATACGGGCTTCCACCAGCTGCTCTGTGTTGGGGCTTTCAGGGCTGGTATCTGAAGGAGTGTGACTGTCCTGGGGAGTCACAGCCAGGCTGAGGCTGGCTTTGTCTGAAGGGTTCTGTTGCATGTATCGGAACACAGATGCCATGCCTTGTTTCTCAAATGGTGTGGCGCCAAAAAGCTGGCTGAGGATGTGGGCTGTGACTTCCAGGCTCTGAAAGTATCGGTTGCTCTGGGCTCTGCTTCTCCAGCGATGGGTCAGCCAGATGCGGTCATTGAGCAGCCAGTGAGGGTGGAGCTCAGGCAGCCTGCTGGGGGGGACGCAGTTGCCTAGCAGTGTGTACAGCTTCCGCAGGTTGCCAGCCGTGGCTGAGCACATTGTGCTCTGCAGAGACGATAGAAGCACACTTTGTACAGGCTGCTCCAGCGACAGCTGATAGACTTTACCCTGGAGGAACTTACAGATGTGGAAGGCTGAGAGCAAGACCTCAGCAGTGGGGAACTCCATGGTCAGGGTAGGCAGCAGGAGGAAGTGGGGGTCCACCAGAATGGTATTGACTCTCTCCCATGCTGGGTTAAACTTCTTGAACACCTGGAACATCTGGGTCAGGCCTTTGGCATCTTCATTGATAGGAATGGCGAAGTACACGGCTCGGGCAAGAGGCCCCTCAACCTGTACCCGGGGTCCATCTACCAAGAAGGTGTATAACACCTTGCCTCGTGGGTTATAGGTCCGGTGTATGAATAAGACCTCAGGGAAGTGAGCAAAGAGGTCTTGCATGAAGCAGCTCTGGTAGTTGAAGGCATCGAGCTGAGGAGTCTTGCTGATCTGGTGTAGCAGCATAGGTGGGCTTGAGTCCTTGATAAGAAGTCCGTTCAGCACTATGAGGGCCATGGAGGGGCTGGGAATTGTCTGAGGCCCAGGCTAGGACACTTCCTCTGCAGAACTGCCGTCAGGGAAGCCCTAAGTTTCTCAAGGGCAACATAGGTCCATGCGATGCTAGACTGTAGTTTTAGCTACTGTTCCAGATGGGCCTATGGAAAGGAAGAGACACTTAAGACAGTAGGGACCTAGCTCTTCAGTTATCTGGACAATATCTCAAGATTTATCAAACACTGTGTATCTTTCAGGGGCAGATATGTAACAAGCACATAAGGGCATATTGGATAATGGCCATAAAACCTACAAAAAAATGAGAAACAGGCCAGAGTATGTTGGGGAAGGCATGGCACAATAGTTAAGGTTGGAAGGTCACTCTAGGGGAAATTACTGTAGGTGAGATGAAAATTGTGAACAAGCCATAGAAACTCATTTCCCAGGAACTTAGATAGGCATGAAGCCAAGTGTAGTGGTGCACCTTGTGATCTGAGCTACTTAAAAAGCTTAGGCAGAAGGATCATCAGGCCATCTGGACCAGTTATGACAGTATAGGCAATTAGGGAGAAGCGTCAGAGGAAAACAAAAACAAAAGCCCTAACAACAACAACAACGCACGCACGCACGCACGCACGCACACACACACACACCAAAGCCAAAACGAAAGAAAAGGACTGGAAGTTGGGTGTGGCAACACACACCTGTAATCCCAGCAGTTGGGAGGTGGAGGCAGCTGGGTCAATTCAAGGCCATTTTAGACTACATGAAATCTTGTCTCAAAAACTAAGACTCACGGCTTCGGGGTGGGGGTGGGGGTGGGGCTACATAGATCATTGGCAGTACAGGAGATTGAAAACACAGGCCAATCCTAGCACTCGGGGAGGCAGAGGCGGGTGGATCTTTGTGAGTTTAAGGCCACCCTAGTCTACCCAGCACAGCTAGAGTTGTCACACTGAGGAACCCTATCTCAAAAAAACCAACCGAACGAAACCAAAACGTATGGCCTTCTTTTCTATTGTGTACGCAGGATTCTGCTGTGTAGCCCTGACTTGACCCAAACCCATAGCAATCCTCTCACCTCGTCTTCCTAAGTAAGTGCTGGGATTCAGGCATGTGCCATCACATTCAACTCTTGTTAAAATATTCTGATAGCCTTTCTGCTTACAAATTCTTTAATTCTTACGCACTCTCTCCTTTGGTCCTGGTATATACCAGGGAAAAAGCAATCGCTCAAAACTTGCTGTGAAATACTGAGCAAGCCAAGTGGCTTTCTCTGAAACTCAATTCCTTTCACTATAGAGGGAGCTTAACAAGTGTGTAGTTTCTCGTATCCCGACTGGCTGCGCTGCTTTATGCAAATGTCTCCCGTTTGGCTCCATTTACTATCCCCGTTTCGCAGATGAGAAACTCGGGTTTAAGGCGTAGGCCATTTGTCCACCATCGAGACTACTGGAAGCCGATTCTCGGGCTCCAGATCCTGATGGCATCTCATAGAGTCTAAAGGGAAGGCGGCCTCTGATCTCACCTGAGCCGGGGTGGGGAACGCGGGAGGCTGAGGTTCGTGTTCAAGCCCAGCGGAGCCGAATTCCACCTCCCACCGGTGGGAGCTGCATGCGCTAGGCGCTGCGACTCAGCTTCACGCCTCCGCTGCCGAGACCGTTCAACCACCGGCCCACGCGGCAGCCATTTCCCACACTAGGCCCGCCTCCGGCTGACTGACGTCCAAGCTCGCCAATCACCACGCCAGCTTCGCAATGACTCAGGCCAAAGGCCTAAAGAGCTCGCTGTTGAACTTGGGCGCTACGGACCAATCCGGGACTGGCAACTCCAGGGCGGAGGCTGTTACCAGGGTTATGGGGGGCTCGACCAGAGGAAGCCAATGAGAGCTTGCAGAAGGATGTTCACTCTGGGAACGGGCGGCCCAAGGGCGGAACCTCCCTTCGGTCTAGGGGGCTGGAAAAGCACCACCTTTCAAAGGCCAAAATAAAATAAAAATGAACAGCAGTGTTTTATACGGAAACCTTTAGTTTGTCGGATACGGAGCTGTCAGGCTCCGAAGACACAAGGATAGGAAAAGGTGCAAATGTTTACTGTGTTCGCTGCCTTATGGAGAAACCGAGGCCTGTCATTCCACCTATTGAGGGTCGAGGTAGGATCACAAGTTTGAAGCTCTAGCCCAAGCAACCTAGTAAGACCCAGTCCTCACAACAGCGGGGTGTGGTGGCACACCCTTTTAATCCCCTCCCTGGATTAAAAGGGAATACACCAAGTTCCATGCTCTAGGCCTCTTTGAAAAAAAAAAATTTTTTTTTTTTTTTTTTTTTTTTTAATTAGGAATTTGCCCACATCGTCCCTGCAAGTGGCTCGAAGTGAAATCTAGGACTTGGGTCTCTTCCCTCCTGATCCACTGGTCCCTCTCCTGAACAGAATGAGCAAGACACCATAACATCTGTGTTGCAGACTCCGTTGGTAGGAAGAGGGCAAGGGAGGTGGCACTCTATTACTAACCCTTTGAGCGTGAAGCACCAGGTTCGATTTGACACCACACCCCATTACACAACACTCAAGTTTCCGTTGAAATGAGAAAGTCTGAGGCTAGTCTGGGCTACATGAGACCCTGTTTCAAAAAACACAAAAGTGAAACAAAAACAACTTTATTAGTGTGAATAAAAATACATAACAGGTATTTTCTAAAGAGCAGCGACAGTCAAGGGCCACGCTCCTCCCCTCTGTCTCCAAAAACAAAGCTTCTTTGCAGGCCCATTTTGGTTTATCCTATCCTGGACAAGGGTTCATCTCTGTAGTGTCAATGTAATCTGACCTCTGGGGCTGGGGAGAAAGGGGCATGACCTTTCAGTATGGAATAACTTTGGCTTTGAACAAAGAATGAGGTGTCTACAGAACGCCAAAGGTAGGGCTGAAGGGCAGGCTCAAAGGACTGTCACAGTGGAGTCCCTCTTCCCCAGTTTTAAGATGTTCTTAGCCCTTACCTAGGAAGACACATTAAAATACTGACAGACAGCATGACCCACCCACTTAGAACTCTCAAACTTCCAAGGTTGTGAGACGCAGTGCACCAGGACAAACACTTCAGTCATCAACCATGGCTTCAGCGAGAGGGAGATTGTCTCCTTCCTCTAGCTTTCCCCAGAGGAAAGGAAGGCAGCCCACATCTCTGAAGTCAACTGGCTGCTGACTGGACTCAGGGAGCTGATAGGGGTCAGCCCAGATGTCCACGATCTTGCGCAGGGTGGCACAGCGCTCTTCCAGCTCTGGCCCCTCAGTCTGCATCAACAGGTTCGCTAGCTCCCGGCTCAGGTCCCGACTCAGATGGTTCTGACTTTGCTTTTCGGGTTGATCTGTGTTTGGAGTTACGCCTTGGTCTCGCAGCTCCCCATCGGGGCCAAGGAGGTGTTGGTATTTCTTCTGCCACCGGCAGCACACCATGGCTTCCCTTACCGGCTGCTGGCTGGTGTGCAGCAGGGCCAAAATGTGCCGACATGGCAGGTGGTAGCACTGTTGGAAGGAACAGCTGCAGCTGCAGCCATCTTTGCTCACCTGGTGTGAGTCCTCTAGCAGCTGAACAGCTACTGAGGAACCTGCCATGTCCACCAGGTGGGTGGAATTCTGCACCACGTCCCACTCATTATGGCACAACTTGTAGGCTAGTTCAGAGCCACTCTGGTGCAAGATATCTAGCATGCCACCCTTGGAGGACTGATCCTGGGGCTGTAGCAATTCAGACTGCTGTGAGTCTGGCTTTGTCTCTTCCACAGGGAGCCTGGTGACATTCCCTCCACAAATTCTAAAAGGCTTCTTGGGCCTTGGTGGTGTGCTTGGGAGCTTGGGAGTTCTCTTTAACTTGGGAGAATTTGTGTTCAAGCTTTTAAGACCTTTGGTATTAAAGAAGTCTATGTAATCCACAAAGTGGAGGATGCAGTCCAGTAGAGACCGCTGCTCCCGAAAGAGGCTTGACACCTTGCTGGTGACGATATCCAGGCTGTCCATATAGGTGTTACACGCATGCAGGCCCTTCCTCACATGCATGTACCACAGCAGTTCACAGGAGAACCAATGGGCCTGGAGGAACCTGAAGAGCTCCTCATCCAGGAGGGCTTGGGACATCTGACAGAGGTTTTGCAGGCTTGCACCAGAAGAGACAAACACAGCCTCCCGCAGGGCTTCCTTCATGAGCCTTTTAAAGGATGCATTTGCTGAACTCTGATGTAACTTCTTCTCTAAGAGACGCGTGGTGTGGTAGATAGAAAGGAGGATGCGGGCAGCAGGGAAGATCTCCTGAAGAACAGCTCGGTGAGGGAATGAAGGGTCCACAAAGACTACCTTGACCTTGGGCCAATCACAGTTGAATTCTGTAAAAATACTGAGCATCTTGGCCACAGAGGAGGCCGTCTCAGCCTTGAGCACAGCAAAGTGTACCACGCGACTCTCTCGCTCCTTGTTCTCCACCAAGAAAGCATACAGAATATGGCCCTGGCTGTTTTCCACTCGGTGCAGCAAGAGATTCTCTGGGAAGCGGGTGAACAAGTCACTCATCTTGCTGCTCTGGAAGCTGAGCCGGTCCAGGTCCTGGCTGGTCCCCACACTGAAGGAGGCCATTGAGCCCTCGTCTACCGTGAGAAAGTTCTTCATCACTTTTGCTATCTTGGCCAGATCAGAAGGACTGATGCCCTCCTGCTCTGGATTTGAGGGCTCATGCACCTTATCTAGGCAAAAAGATGGTTCTACTGGGAGCTTCTCTGCTGTCTCAAGGTCTTTCTTGATGCTGAGCTGCACCGGCTGGAGTTTGGGCAGACATACTGCCTCCTGAGGTTGGCTAGCAGGGACCCCTCCAGCAGCAGGGTTAAAATCAGCATGGATGTGCTGCATATTCAGTTCACTGATAAACAGTCTATCTAGCCTCTCGTTGTACTGCAGGAGCAGGTATGCTGGGCACCTGTCCACTTTCCGTGTTCTCTTCCTGTTTGACTGCGTCCGAATACAGACAAATTTCACCTGCACATATCTAGGGAAGGTAGAGGTGACAATGAGAAAGGTGCTGGCTGCCCTTCTCTTAAGATAAGACCTGTTAGCTATTTATATTGACCAACAAGTTTCCTAGAGATCACACAGCAGTATAGAATGTAAAAAAGAAAAATTTGCAGTAACTCTCTAGTCCCAACATTTTCAGTTTCCTCCAAGGCTATATCACACCCCCACTCCCACCCCCAGTTCCCTCCATCTCATTTATTTATTTAAGGCCATCTCATTTATTTATTTACTTATTTATTTATAGCTTAGGGACTGGCATGGAACTCATGATGTAGTCCAGGCTGACCTTGAACTTGCTGCAACCTTTCTGGCTCAGCCTCCCATGAGCTGGGGTTACAGAGGTGAGCTATTTACTATACCTGACTTAAAGGCCCAATTTTTGTCATTCTGTCTGTTGCCATCTGTGGCTGCCAATAACCCAATCTGAGGCAGGATATAAGGGGAAGTTGACAACAGCACTAGAGCGCCCAGCTAATCTCTCTGTTTAAATGATCCCTGTGCCCATAATCCTAGCACCTGGAGACTATGGCAAGAAGGCTGTGAGCTGTAGGGCAGGCTGGGCTATGTAGCAAGGCCTTCTCTCAAAAATCAAAGTCCTCTTCATTCATTTGGGACAATACAGCAACATTCTGAGGACCAGGAGTGTCCTCAGAGTCCTCTGGGGATAGCACAGGCCTGGGCTTATTTGTAGAAGAGAACATTTCTGATTGCTTCTGAAAAGAGAAATATCTATATCCTGAGGCATTTGGGTCTGTGGTGGAGCAGTTGAACCATCTAAGATAGTCTCACCCTCTAGCTTTAGCACCCTAGGTAAAAGGGATGATTTTACGGGGATGGTTATCAAATCATTTGCTTTCTCTTTTCTTATTTCCATTCAATTCCTGGGCTCAAGGACCAGCCAAATCCTCCCTTCTCTTGTCAGCCTTTATGGATAACTCTGAGCTACAGTAATTAATCCTGAACTGGAATTTTCTGCATTCAATTAAAAGGTCTTACAGACCTGTAGGTATCAAATTGGGGAACACTGGAGGCCGAGTTGAGTCTTTTGAATCCTGGCCGTCACTGGGAAGCTGTTTAACCTCGGGCACGTCATTCCACCTTTGTGGATACAGTATGCCCATCATAAAATGAGACATGATCATTAGGGTTATCATAAAGACTAAATGAACCACAGCTGAAATATTTAGCCCAGAGCCTGCCTTGGCCTTTTGTTTATGCTAGAGCTAAAGCTAGCTGCTTTTGCAGTTCCCATGACCAGCAACATTAAGTGGGGATGTCTCAAGTGCTGAGATTAATCATTCCTCAGTGTGTTCCTAGCACATGACACAATGCTGCTCCTTCAGCAGATGCTTATCAATGACATAATAGATGAATGAATCACAGACCGACAGTGGGTGGGAGAGGTCACACCCCTGCCTCCTCAGGGAGTGGCCCAGTTGAAAAACTAAGGGAGAGGGGAAAAAAAATGTCAGCTGCTAGTATGACAAGGCACAGCCTGGAGCTCCACCTACACTTTTCCAAACACTCTTATCCAGCTGGTCCAGTTTGCCCACCCTGTGGGGCAAGTTTAGGAAAACAGGATATGTCAGTCTTCTGATAACAGGGTGGAGGGGCCTGGGGCTGAGAACATCTGTGTCTGTTGTGAGCGCAGCACAGAGGTGGCACCATCTCTAGGGAAGTCCTTGGAGAAGTCCAGTAGACCAGCAAAGCCAGCAAGTAAGGACCACTGAACCTTAGTTTCCACCCTGTCCACCTTGCTGGTGTCTTAGAATAACAAATTGCCCACAACTTCCCATGTCCACTCTACAGTGTCTTCTGGCAATGGCTTAAGTTGTACCTGTGTTTGAATGACCCTCCCACCCTACATCTCAAAGTGCATTCATCATTCAGGATACCTAGAGCCTTCTTTTTTTTTTTTTTTTTTTTTTTTTTCCTAGAAAGCTGGGCCCTGCTCTTCTTCAGGCTCAAATCGTCATCTGATTATACTGACTTACTGTGTATTTAGTGACGGTTTGTGGGAGCCACTGCCAACCACAAAGCTCTTTTTACTATTTCTGGCTCTTTTACCGAGCCAGGTTGGAGTCCTGTACATTCTTTTAATTCTTCCTTCTCATTCTTCATCCAATTTCTCCACTTTTCTTGCTTCTATTTTTTGGGGTAGAGAGCAGGGCCTCACTTCATGGCTATCTTCCTGCCTTAGCCTACCAAGTGCTAGGATTACAGCCATGGCCACCCTACCCATCATCTTGCTGAGTGAGGCTGTTACTCTGCCACCAACTTGAGCCCAGCCTGTATCTACCATGTGAACAAGTTTTGAAATGCTCTCCCATCATTGCTACATGCACTGAAGATTCTGTGCCAGGCAGCACTGAGGTCCTAATGTCTCATTTTACACTAGCAAGAATTCTAGTTTGTCTCCCTTTTACAGAGGGAAACAGGCGTAAGGAGGCTCCCAAGGATGAGAATCTAGGACTTACTCTTCCAGCTAGCAGCAGCACATCGAGGTTTGAACCAAGTTTGCTCGTCTATAGTCTAACTAGTTTACTATCTCTGAGTTTCTTCCTTATCTTCATTTGACCTCTACCACCTTGGTTAGGATCAACATTCCCCTTACAGACCTCTAATCAAGGGCCCGGAGATGGCTCAGCAAGTAAAGGTGACCAGAGTTTGAGCTCACCAAAGGTAGAGAGAACAGACTTCACAAAGTTGTCTTCTGGTTTAGACACACGCATGCCCCGCCCTCCACACCATCACACCTGTGAGCATGCCAACACCTGCAGTCTAATAGAGTTAGGCTAGGAATGGAGGCACATGTCTCTAGTACCAGCACTTGGAAACCGAGGCAGAACGACTGACACGTGTTTGACAGTAGCCTGGGCCACACAGGAGTTCTGGGCTAGTCTGTGCTAGAAAGACCTTGTCTTAAAAACAAGACAAAACATTCTCTGGGGCTGTAGCTCAGAAGTAGAACTCTTACCCTGGTGTGAAGCCCTCGGTTTAATCCCCAGTACAGTAAAAAACAAGAAACAAAAACAATTTGTGCTTGTTCTGACTACATAGACACTTCCCTTGTCACTAATGGCCTAAAAATACACTGTAATGACTATCTACGTCATGTATGAAGGGGATTATGTGTAGGGTACACATAAGTACTATGCTATTTTATGTGAGAGGGGCATCCTGGAATCCACCCACCCCCTGACACCGAGGGACAACCACAGATGTGTCTAATCCAAAACTGTTGCTTGTCAAACTCAACATATTCCTGCCCTCCTGCCAAACAAAGAGCCAGTTTTATCCAGGTTGCTGTTCCTCCCTAACACAACTACTTGCTTAGAGCAGCAACAGCCATTGCTTAATTACAATTAAGGTCATGTTGTGAGGACTGGGAAAGGTCACTGGACCAATTATGGAGAAAGAACCACAATAGGAAATCTGCGGGAAACGAAGGAAAGCTTTTTCTTTTGACTGTGACTTGTGCATTTGTATCATGTGGGGAGCTGTCCTAAACAAGACAGGCTTGAGGATGTAGTATGCCAAGATGAAAGGAGCCTGATCAGTGACACAACCACATTTGGAGGTTCACTCTGGGCTACGCATTAGCCATTTTAAGTTAGAGCTGTTAGTTAACTGAAGACAAAAGCATCCAATAAACTGGTGGTACCACATGACTATTTCTAGTACTCAGGAAGCTAAAGCAGGAGGACTGTCCTGAGTTTACAGCCAGTTTGAGCTGTGTAGAACATAAAACAAAGAAACAGTCCAACTCCTTCCCTCAACACACACGCATAAAACAAAACCAAAAAACCAAAAAACACAACTACAGGCATATTTCATAGAAATTAATAAGGGGAAAAAAGAGAACTAAATGGGAGTTTATCTTAAATTTGAGGCTACAGGACTAGGGCCGGAGAGGTGGCTCTGGAGCTTAGAGCAGTCATTGCTTTTGCAGAGGACCTGGATTCGGGTCCCAGCTCCCACCTGATAGCTCACAACAATTACTAACTCCAGGTCTAGGGGAACCGATGTCATCTTCTGATCTCCTTGGGCACCAGACACATACATGTTGCATATACATACATGCAGAAAAATCACTCATACACATAAAATAAAAAATATTTAAAAATTTTGAGACTAGCTAGATGGTGGTGCATGCCTTCAGCACTTGGGAGGCAGAGGCAGGCGGATCTCTAAGTATAAAGCCAGCCTGGGTCTACAGAGTGAGTTCCAGGACAGCCAGGGCTATACAAACCCTGTCTCAGAAGAAAAAAAAAATTTTTTTTTTTTGAGACTAAAAGGGCTTAGTTAGTAAAGTGCATGCTGTGCAAGTGTGAGGAGAAGAGTTTAGCCCCTAGCGCTCATGCAAAAAACCAATCAAACAAAAACACCCAACCCAAACCAAAACGACAGAACTGCTGGGCATGGTTGTCTGTGGCTAATTCCAATGCTGGGGAGCTGGAGACAGGAGGATCCCTGGGGGCCTGCTGGCCAGCCAGACTAGCAAAATCACTGAACTTATGGTTTAGTGAGAGATATTGTCTCAAAACAAACTAAATTAAAGTGTAGAGGAACAACTGTGACCTCACACTTAGCATCACACAAGCACATGTGTACCTGTACACACGAAAGCTCGTACACGTGCACACATAAATGCACAAACACACATAGTATACACACACACACACACACACACACACACACACTATGGCTACAGGGCCCAGCGGTGCATGCCTGTAACTTAAACACTCTGAAATGTGAAGCAGGAGAACTGGAGTTGAAGGCCTGTGGGCAAGACCCTGTCTCCCAGACAGACAGACAGAGCGAGTTCGGGTGTTGTGGAAATTCAAGGCCAAGCAGGACAGCACAACTAGCCAGGACTATGCAATGAGACTCTACCTCAAAAGAACTAGAGCACAGTGAGAGACAGTGTGCTAGCTGGTGTTTATCAGCTTGCCACAAACCTAGACACATCTG